CCTAGAAAAAGAATTGAATCCTAATTTCCTGTCGATATGCACAACTACATAGTATGTCCTTATTATCTAAAAAGGTTTCGTGAAATTCTGTTGTGTGGTTTGAGAGGAGTTGCGATGACAAAAGGTTGCAGTAGTATATTGGGCAAATAAGTTCAAAGGGCGTAACTCCTGAAAAAAAAATTGAATCGTAATTTCCTGTCGATATGCACATCTACGTAGTATGTCCTTATTATCTGAAAAGGTTTCATGAAATTCTGTTGTGTGGTTTGAGAGGAGTTGCGATGACAAACTGTTGCAGTAGTACATTTAAGTAAATAAGTTCAAAGGGGCGTAACTCCTAGAAAAAGAATTGAATCATATTTTCCTGTCGATATGCACAACTACATAGTATGTCCTTATTATCTAAAAAGGTTTCGTGAAATTCTGTTGTGTGGTTTGAGAGGAGTTGCGATGACAAAAGGTTGCAGTAGTATATTGGGCAAATTAGTTCAAAGGGGCGTAACTCCTGGAAAAAAAATTGAATCGTAATTTCCTGTAGATATGCACATCTACGTAGTATGTCCTTATTATCTGAAAAGGTTTCATGAAATTCTGTTGTGTGGTTTGAGAGGAGTTGCGATGACAAACTGTTGCAGTAGTACATTTAAGTAAATAAGTTCAAAGGGGTGTAACTCCTAGAAAAAGAATTGAATCATAATTTCCTGTCGATATGCACAACTACATAGTATGTCCTTATTATCTAAAAAGGTTTCGTGAAATTCTGTTGTGTGGTTTGAGAGGAGTTGCGATGACAAAAGGTTGCAGTAGTATATTGGGCAAATAAGTTCAAAGGGGCGTAACTCCTGGAAAAAAAATTGAATCGTAATTTCCTGTCGATATGCACATCTACGTAATATGTCCTTATTATCTGAAAAGGTTTCATGAAATTCTGTTGTGTGGTTTGAGAGGAGTTGCGATGACAAACTGTTGCAGTAGTATATTGGGCAAATAAGTTCAAAGGGGCGTAACTCCTGGAAAAAAAATTGAATCGTAATTTCCTGTCGATATGCACAACTACATAGTATGTCCTTATTATCTAAAAAGGTTTCGAGAAATTTTGTTGTGTGGTTTGAGAGTAGTTGCGATGACAAGAAACAGGACTGACGGACGGACGTACGGACGGACGGACAGACGGACGGGTCAAAAACATTATACCCTCTGCAACTCGTTGCATGGGGTATAATAAAAAACGGTTGGAAATGTTAAAACACAAAAAAAACACCCAACCGGTTGCAAGTGATTTTTTCAAAACACCCACCTTACCTAAGTGAAAAATGGAGAACACTGATGAATGTGGAATAATTTGGAAACATACTACATTAACAGGTGTATTGTATTAAAATGTGTATTTTATTTAACATACCTAAATGTATATCTCTTCTCTGAAAAAAGAGGGATAGTGTGGTCATTTGTGGCAGCACATCAGCCAGTAACAAAAGTGTTGACAGGATATATGGATCCTTCAAGTTCTTTAGTAAACCATTACCAACAGGGTCCCCACTTATGGTGTTAGATTCTAGATCAATAATAATTGCCCTGAAAATAGTTGCATAAACACACTATTACATTGTCATGTTATTTTGTAAATAAATGTGATGATTAAATTAAAATAATCATTAAAATTATAAGTCTGGTACCTTTGATTAGTATTTATCCCTTTATTCATTTATTTAGTTTTTACACTTTTAAATAGCTATTTTCATGATTATAATTGTTTTTAAAAAATTCCGATCTTTAATATATATACTGTATATATCAATCATAAATACCTGTAAGATGTCACTATAGCCCTGACAGCTTGACCGTGACTCAACCATCTGTGATGTTTTGCCTTTTTCACCTTTAGAACAGGCTCACCAAGTGCCTTCTGTACATTCTCTAAAGATTTTGTGTGATTGCAGCTATATTTATAGTACTTGTGTAAATTGTCAAGTGTGTCATCCAAGCGCTTCACTACCTTGACATTTTTGTTAAGAATCCCTGCAAGCAAGTGCAAGTCTATGGTCCTTGCAATGGTTGGTGATAAGTGATGGAATGGACTCCTTCAATTTTGTCCATACACCATTTTTTCTACCTGATAACACTGCAGCTCCATCAGAGCCGAATGCAGACATTTTAGAAAGGGGTAACTTAGCAGATTGTAATTCTTCTTTAATTTTGTCAGTTATAGTCTCAGCACGCCCATCATCTATAAGTGGGTCACATATAAAAGCATTCTTAATGTTACATTCAGGATCTATGTATCTAGCACAAATAGCTAGATGTTTATGGGAGGTGATGTCCATTACCTCATCAACCATGAGTGAGTAGGTTGGGCTTTTTCTCATCTCATTGAAAAGATTTTCTCTAACTTCATCACGTAAAAGTGTTAGCAATTCAGAAACAATATCCCAACTTGTATATTTAGCATTCTTTGCCAGTTTCAAATTGTTCAAGTTACACGAACCAAGTTCAATATTCAGATCAACAAGGCTAGAAAAAAGATCAAGTGATAAATTGTGCTCTACTAAATAGTAAATCACCTTCAAGGCATCTTTAATAGCACTTCGTGAGTTTTGATTAAGTTTTTGATTGCATTTATCAGCATTTTCCTGTTCAGACTCACGATTAACAGAGGCCAAGTGCTCAGAGCAGTGTTCATGTTCTTTTATCTTATCTAACCGTATAGTTTTGCAACCAATATCACTCCATACACCCACTGAACTGTGCTTTTGACACAGCTGACAAATCATTACATCATCTATATTTTGCAACCAGGGTCTACCATATTGCCATTTGGATTCAAAAACCGTTTTATGTCCACGATTATGCTTTCTTTTTTTATTGGGGCTTTCTGTAGATTCAAAAGTTCTACTCTCTTCATTTTTTCTTTTTAAGTTCTCATCCAGTTTTTTGGGACTTTCATTTTCAGTACTTCCATTACGATTTCTGAAAAAAATATCTTTTATAAAGTATTTTTTTCCGTTATCGTCTTTTCCTAGAAGTAATTCTTTAGAAATTTTTTTTAAATTTCTATACAGTTATTTTTTTCAAGCTATCGTCGTTACACAAGAGTTGTAAAAATTATTATATTTCAGTGGATTCATTTTCAATCAAATGGAAATAGTAACTGTCAAAATTAATAAGCAGCTGCGCCATGAGCGCATGATACGCTCGTCGTCTTGTGTGTGAATTTTTATGCAATAAGCATAAATAGTTTCTGACATACGGCGTGACATGCGAAAACCCCCTTTTTTTTTACAAAAACTCAATATCTCTAAAATAAAATTTTGAATCAAAACCAAAAAGTATACAGATCTTTAGATTAATATAACTAAGAAGTGTGTAAAATTTTAAGCAAAAATCATAAATCGTTTTTGAGGTACGGCGCGACATGTGAAAACCCCCCTTTTAAAAAAAAAAAATCAATATCTCAAAAATGAAATTTTGAATCAAAACCAAAAAGTATACAGATCTTTAGATTAATATTACTAAGAAGTGTGTAAAATTTTAAGCAATAATCATAAATCGTTTTTGAGATACGGCGCGACATGTGAAAAACCCCTCCACCTTTTTTTACAAAATACTCAATAACTCAAAAATAAAATTTTGAATCATCACCAAAAAGTATACAGATCTTAAAGTTAATATAACTAAGAAGTGTGTAAAGTTTTAAGCAATAATCATAAACTGTTTTTGAGATACGGCGCGACATGTGAAAAACCCCTCCCCCTTTTATAACAAAATACTCAGTATCTCTAAAATAAAATTTTGAATCATCACCAAAAAGTATACAGATCTAAAGATTAATATAACTAAGAAGTGTGTAAAGTTTTAAGCAATAATCCTAAATTGTTTTTGAGATACGGCGCGACATGTGAAAAAAAACACACACCTGTTTTAGTTACTAAGTCCCGTAACTCAAAAAGTTTTAATCTTATTTTCACCAAAAAGTATACAGATCGTTTGACCATCATAAGAAACAACTATGTTAAGTTTCATGAAATTTGGATAAGTCATTCTCAAATTACTGTGCGACATGTTTACGCCGAACAGCCGGACAGACAGACGGACAGACGGACGGACAGACGGACGGACACCGGACATTTGTATAACATAATACGTCCCGTCAAAAATTTGACGGGTGTATAAAAATATAAAATATAACAAATTCACGTAGTGCTAAAAAAGTTGGCTAAACTTCTGTTCGTCACTTTATTTTTTTTTAATTTCCTCTTTCAATCGTCGTTCACACTTAGGCATTGTGATTGTAAATAAGACAAGAAAAACAAACTCAGAATGTTATATAGTTTTTATTTAATGAGTTAAAATCACCGCTAATTAATAGATCATAGTAGTACATACATATTATGTATACACTGATCAGCTGTTATCGACACACAGGTAAATCTATTTTTAACTTTTCAATGTTGACAAGGACGCATTAATCTGTAATGGCGGATCATAGCAAAACGTTCAAAATCAAACATCATCGATCTCAAAAAGGGCAGGGCGCAACGAAAAAGGCACAGGGTGCTTCGAAATCGTTAAAAAGGGCACAGGGTGCAACTGAAAAAAGGGCGGGTGTCGCGCCCTCTGAAAACGGCCTAGCTGGAACACTGCTTTTGTTCTTAGATTTGGACCTTAACCTTTCCCCATTGTCAATTTCTAGATGTAAGTCAGGATATGAGGCAGACTGATCTGCATCTTTTGTGTTCTTCATTTTAAGTTCAATGGGAAGGGTTTTAATAACTTCAGAACCAAATCACGGCTCTGATCATATTTTATCCTTTATCTATAAATCTCTGAACAGTTGAATTCTATTGTTGGTCATTGTTAATATTTTTACCCCTCAACTGGTTATTTTTTTAATCATCAGCTTTTGTTAAATGACTAAAACTTTGTTAAATTTCCCTTTGTTATTTCTGCAGTTTTCCATAATATGCTTTCTTATTATCTTTCAGTTAAAATAATATAATTACCTGTCTGAGATTGCAACATTCCTCCGTACAATGCTGACAATTCCTGCAAATTAAAACATGTATCTATCAAAAAAAAAAAGAAACATATTAAGTGTCAATCTGCCTAAGAATCAGGCAGTGGTGAAAACATGACAAACAAAAACCCACTCAAGTTGACATTAATTTATGTTCAAAATGTACAATGGTGCACGAATATAACATTAGTTTCCTTTTCCTGTTCTGGTAATTCAAGACATTATTTGGTTGAATTGCACTGGAAATTAACAATTAAGGGGAGCTAACTCCGTAATTTGCTATCAGTCTAACCAAAAGTTATCTAGAAATTTCTCGAGTTACCAGACACACAGAAACGAATAACCTACCATTTCTGACTTAGGATAAGGATAACTTCAAAATAGGATGGTTAGGTCAGTGGGTTTTTTTCGGCCATGTTTTGATTTTTTTCAAAATTGCCCGATTACAAAGACAAACACTTAAATTGATATTTAATCAATCATTTCCCCAAAGCAAGATATTAGGTAATGACTGGAGCAATCATAAACTTATTTAACTAAGTCATATATATTCATATTCTTGTAAAAGTCAGAAATCTTGTTGCAGGTTGCCATTATATTTTTTTGGAGTACTTTTCATTTAGGATTCAGTGTTGTCTTCATTCATCTCTGCTAGATTCATTGAATTTGTTATGATTGGGTGATTGACATATGGTATCAGCTTTTGTCCATTGTTGAAGAACATTTGCTGACCTAGAGATACCTTATTTTGATATTGTATTGTTATAAAATTGAGAATGGAAATGGGGAATGTGTCAAAGAGACAACAAGCCGACCGAAGAGCAGAAAACAGCCGAAGACCACCAATGGGTCTTCAACACAGCAAGTATATCCTGCACTCCGAGGAGGGCTTCAGCTGGCCCCTAAACAAAAGTGTGTACTAGTTCAATGAAAATGGACGTCATGCATGTTTGGTTCAGGGTCAATATTATTTTTCGCAAACCCTTTTGCCAAAACAATTTAATGTTGCCACTTTCATTACTAACTTATTTTCCTTTTTACAAAAGACCTTAAGTTCAATTTGTAGCGCCCTGGTCTCAAGTATATCTTGGATCTAATATAACCTGTAATATTAAGTACCAGTGTTATAATCCAACATCTCTATCTTAATATAAAACTCTTTACAAAAGGCCATTGAACTTAATTTCTGTCATTTTATGTGGATACCGTACTGGCAATAATTATATTTGCACCTAAAACATCAGTAGGTTGGGATTTGTCTTCAATCAGTTTATCGGATACTTTCTAGATGAATCAAATTAAAGATTTTTCTTAAATTTTATGACATTAATCAAAAAAAAAAAAATAAAAATTCTTTTTGTTCCATGATTTAAAGTTAAGTTAAAATATAAAACTTTGTTTAAGACAAGAGCACTAAAACCATTGTGTCTTGTCCCCACTTCAAAACAATAATTTTGTAAAAGTTGTAGAAACAACTCATTTAAATGACATGTGAAGCCAATTGACCACACCACATCCATACCTGCCAACTTTTCAAAAATCTCCATGGGGGATTTTAAGTGCAAGAGGACCTAATGCTCCTCTTATATTGTCATAAGTGTTCTTAATCTACTACATGTTCTATATTGTTTGAAGGAAATTTGATTTATTAAATTGTAGTTTATACACAATACAATGCATCTGTTATCAACGATTTCAGCAGGCAGTTATCTTAGTCTATTCTTAGGTAATTACATAACATTTATTTTTAGCTTTTTAGGAATAGTGCCCTAGAGGGGGGTTAGAGTATTGTTGATGAAATTGAGAGAACGCATCGATGTATCGGATGCAATTACAATCAGCTATTATTTACTGTTATCAAACCATATAGTTCAAAAACTATCTAACATCGAAATATTAACAATTAATTGACATGGAATAGTGATTGGATATTTTATTGAGTATTGATTATCTAATTTCCAAGTGTGAACAATTATGGGTCCTAAACGCCCAGGTAAACAGAGACTTGCTCCATATGATCCCGAACTTTTGGAAAACTGGACTTTAACTAGACTCCGTGCAGAGCTGAGAACTAAGAACATTAAATTCCCAACTAACGCTAGGAGAATGGCTTTAGTTCGTTAATTGAAACCATCGAGTGTCTACGACATAAGCGGCGGCGGCGGCCATGACACCATGTTAGCAGTTACACAAGAGACGAGTGCGCGATCCCACAATGCACCGCAAAATGTAAACAATAACAATAGCGACAGAACGGCAATTTTAGTAGATCTAGTGTCTAAACTTTCGTCCAATGTTCAAAACCTACAACAGAATGTTATTTCTTTGAATAATAAAGTAACTGCTTTGTCAAATAATATTCCGCAAAATAACAGTATCAGTACAAGTTCGTCCGTACCCTCAAGTTCTCCAGTTTTAACTACGTTTGTCGACGGCAGTCAAACAACTCCAAACATTACTCCTACTACATCAGTACCAATCACAACTCCCAGTTCTACAGGGAACTATTCCATTGAGTCGGCTCTTCAATGCTTTCAGACATCGTCCTTGAACAGGCATGTTCCTACCGCAGCTGCAGGAAGTGAAGCCCAGGCTCGGGAAGTCAGTGATCGTGATACAAGAGGATACATACGAACCTGTTACGGTTATTCTGCAGAATCACTGCCTTTGGTGGAAACTATTTCGCCTCAACTTAGACATAATATTACAGCAGGTAGGGACGTTATTCTTGCATCCCTGTTAATACCTTTTTACTCTGGCATGTGCAGTGATAACATTGAACAGTTTCCGTATCCCAATAAACCGGATCCCAGATTGAATAGATCCTTGACAATAGGGGAATTTGTTCAGGCGTTTAGCATTTACAAAAACGTGATGTGTTCAGCATATCCCCAGAGGCGGAATGAGCTTGACCTTTATGAAAGAGATATAGTGGATATGGCCACCAGGTATGGTGGCAGGGGATTTTATGAGTATCACAGGCAGTTTTCTCTACAAGCTGCGGCACATTTAACTTATAACAATATCATGGTTGATTGGTCCGTGCGAAACAATGCGTTATTTTGTAACATTTTTGCTAATCTTAGGCCTAACACTTGTGAACATTGTCATAGCACACTTCATCTATCAGGTTTTTGTCCCTCATTAGTTCATAAGGAAGGTACTATTGGTACCCTCAACTATCCAAGAACAAAGGACAATAAGTCTGATACATATGGTAGATCAAGAGTATATCATAATGGTAGAGAAGTATGCAACAATTATAATGGGGAAAAAGGTTGCAAATATGTAAAGTGTAACAATCTTCACATATGTCTATTATGTAAGAAGGACCACTCACAAAATGAATGCCTTGGGTCAAAAAACAAGGAAGGGCCCCAAAAGAATGGGGCGCAAATGTTCAGGAAGAGGTAAATAGGACACAAAATTATGATCTATCATTATACACACCTATCAACGTTCACAGATTACAATATGAATTGATCAAACATCCTGATTTAAAATTTACTGATTACTTGATTCATGGTTTAAAACATGGTTTCCATACAGGATTAAGAAGTTTGCCTGACTTTTCTATAGAATGCAAAAACTAACTTTCAGCAATTTCTCAGCCAGAGTGTGTCAACATTTTAATTGATACTGAAATTCAGAAAGGTTACTTGTGTGGACCATTTGACATTATACTGTATAAGCACTTTCGTATTAATCCAATTGGAGTAGCTGAAGGCAAGTACTCAAAAAAAGAAACAACTCATAGTAGATTTATCAGCGCCACATGATGATGAACTAAATCCTAGTTTAAACGAGTTAATAGATAAGGAGGAATTTTCTTTACACTATGTTAAAATTGATGATGCAGTTAACATCATCAAAAAATTAGGACAAGGGGCATGGCTTATCAAAACCGATATAACCGATGCGTTTAAAATAATTCCAGTGTCTCCTCATTTATGGCCTTTTCATGGTATTAAATGGAACAACAAATATTATTTTTTCAAACAATTAGTTTTTGGCTCACGTTCAAGTCCAAAAATATTTGACAATCTTTCGCAAGCAGTGGGCTGGATAGCTACTAACAATTACAATATAAGGAACATTCTTCATTTATTAGATGATTTTTTAGTAATAGAGCCACAGAGTGCTGATGCAGTTCAGACCAAAGAAACTTTGTTGTCTATATTTGATTCATTAGGAATTCCTCTATCAGCTAAAAAGACAGTTGGGCCTTGTAAAGTTATTGAATACCTAGGTATATTTTTAGATTCGGAACTGATGGAAGCCCGACTGCCTTTAGTGAAAGTTAACAGGATTTGTGAATTTATTGAGACGTTTCGCAACCGCAAACATTGTACGAAAAAAGAAATCCTAAGTCTTTTAGGGCACATGAATTTTGCTTCAAGAGTTATTTTGCATGGAAGATCCTTTGTGTCACATCTTATAGCTTTATCAACCAAGGTAAAGAAACTTCACCACCGAATACAATTAAACCTTGAATGTAGATTAGATTTGGATATGTGGTTGTTATTTTTGAAAAAATGGAATGGTGCATCTTTTTTCATTAACGACAATATAACGGAAGCCGCTGATATGGAACTTTATACTGATGCTACACTAAATTCATTTGCAGGTTTTTACAAAAATCAGTGGTTTCAGGGCGATTTTCCTATAGAAGTTATGGATGAGCAAACATCTATGGCATTTTTTGAACTTTACCCCATAGTCATGGCTTGTGTTTTGTGGGGTCATAATTGGAACAGAAAGCGTATTTTGTTCCATTGCGACAATATGACTACAGTTGACATTATTTCCAAAGGCAGGTCTAAAGTTAAGAGTATCATGAAGCTTATGAGAAAGTTGACTTTTCATGCTGCTACACACCATTTTATTATTCATGCTCAACATATTCCTGGTATTAACAATAATATTGCGGACTCTCTTTCTCGTTACCAGATGCAGAAATTCAGAATACTAGCACCAGAAGCAGAAGAAAAGCCAGTGCCTTGCCTCTTGCCTTCCCACATAATGATGTTTTAGAACAACAAGCACGTAATTTATGGGACTTGTCTTTATGTCGGAAAACAAAACAAACCTATAGATCAGCCGTACAGAGTTTTATAACATTCATGAATATGAGCGGGATGCAGTGCTCCGTTAATTGTTTACCTATAATTACAGAGGACCATTTAATCTACTTCGCAACTCATTGTAAGAATAGTAAAAAGCTACAACATGATACTATTAAAATGTACATAGCCGGAATACGATACCATTACTTGCGTGCAGGTCATAATGACCCTACAGCAGGGACAGAACGACTTCCGTATATCATGCGAGGTATAAAGAAATCTCAACACAACGTTTCTAGGAACAGATTGCCTATTACCTCAGATGTGTTAAAACGTTTATGCAACCTGCTATCAACAGGTGTTTTCTCACCTTTCATTGATCTTATGCTGCAGTGTGCCTTTTTGACAGCATTCTTTGGTTTTCTTCGATGTGGAGAGTTCACTTGCAAAACTAAGGACGATTATCTGAACTGCGTAGTAATCGATGATGTTAAGATCAGCCTAATACATGATCGTTTTGTGTTAAAATTAAGAACATCTAAGACTGACCCTTTTCGAGTAGGAGTAGATATAACTATAAATGAAAATGATATTTTTGGACCAGTGCATGTTATGAACAAGTACTTGAAGTATCGCTTACAGATGGGAGCTTTAGCAAGCTTTCCTTTATTTGTTGAAAGTGAATTTGATTTAAGTAGGCCATTATCCAGGGAAACTTTCATTAATTACCTAAGACAGCTTTTAATCCGTCTGGGTTATAGGGAAAGTGATTTCTGTGGTCACTCGTTCAGAATTGGTGCCGCTACTTCAGCTGCAGCAGCGGGAGTTGAAGATCATATCATACAAACACTCGGTAGATGGTCATCGGACTGTTATATCAGATATATAAGAACTGATAAGAGGGTTATTTCTAAAGCACAACAGAAAATGTGTCATTTTTGAAACTATTGTATTATGGATGTAGTTTATTTTTACCTTTGTATTTGTTAGCATTATTATTTCTTGGGGGCTTTCACTCTTTCATTTTATGAACTCATTTCATTTGGCCTTTTTAATTCCAGGGGAATCATACTCCCCCAATTCAATAATACATCAGATAGGTTAATTCCTGTCGAGGAACAAATAGGTATTTTAAAGTAGTATTTTTACTACGCTGGGATCGCCCAGGAGCAATTAGGTTCATTCCTGGGGATCGCCCCAGGAATTAGGTTCATTCCTGCCGAGGAACAAATAGTCATTCTTGGGGATTGCCCCAGGAATTAGGTTCATTCCTGCCGAGGAACAAATAGGTTCATTCCTGGGGATCGCCCCAGGAAGTAGGTTCATTCCTGCTGAGGAACAAATAGGTTCATTCCTGGGGATCGCCCCAGGAACATTTTTTACTAATCGTTTAAGGAATTTTTATTTTCTCATATTTTGATAAGTTTTAAAAATTTATTTTTCTCATTTTTTTATTAGTTTTAAAAAATTATAAAGTCAAATTCTTTTAAGTGAATGAGTAGCCCCAAGAAAGCCAATAATGTATTATATTGTTAGTCATCCATTGTAGAATTTAGAAATGTACTGTTATGTTACAATTTATTTTAATATTATGTGTAGATTTAGTATGTTTAATATTTTAATAATAAAACATTATTCTTAAATTGTGTTGTGTATAAAAGGAAATTTGATTTATTAAATTATAGTTTATACACAATACAATGCATCTGTTATCAACGATTTCAGCAGGCAGTTATCTTAGTCTATTCTTAGGTAATTACATAACATTTATTTTTAGCTTTTTAGGAATAGTGCCCTAGAGGGGGGTTAGAGTATTGTTGATGAAATTGAGAGAATGCATCGATGTATCGGATGCAATTACAATCAGCTATCCCACCCACCATCCCCAACTACACCTGTGCATTAGCTGGGTAGTTATTCTTCATGTTATGATATACATGCATGTATTTTATATATGTTAAGTATTTTAAGGTTTTATTTATAGTTACAGTCAGGTCCATAATATTGAATTCTGATAGCAAGTTCTTGGTATTTCTGTTAAATTCATATAGGTGTTTAGTTTGTTTTTGTTTTTATTCAAGCTGATAAAGTGTTGTTCATGTGATGCACTCAAGCGTAGTTATAGAAATAGTAAATTTGAAATGGCTATATTACATTGTTATATTTTTTATTATATTTCTAGTTTGTTAGTTTAAATATATAAATATTTGTTTTATCTCTTGTGTTAGGGGCTACTCATATGGAAATTTTTTATTTTTTTTTTTATTCAAGGGGAATGGCCTTTTTAATTCCGGGGGATTCATTCTCCCCCAATTCAATAATACATCAGATAGGTTAATTCCTGTCGAGGAACAAATAGGTATTTTAAAGTAGTATTTTTACTACGCTGGGATCGCCCAGGAGCAATTAGGTTCATTCCTGGGGATCGCCCCAGCAATTAGGTTCATTCCTGCCGAGGAACAAATAGGTCATTCTTGGGGATCGCCCCAGGAATTAGGTTCATTCCTGCCGAGGAACAAATAGGTTCATTCCTGGGGATCGCCCCAGGAAGTAGGTTCATTCCTGCCGAGGAACAAATAGGTTCATTCCTGGGGATCGCCCCAGGAACATTTTTTACTAATCGTTTAAGGAATTTTTATTTTTCTCATATTTTGATAAGTTTTAAAAATTTATTTTTCTCATTTTTTGATTAGTTTTAAAAAATTATAAAGTCAAATTCTTTTAAGTGAATGAGTAGCCCCAAGAAAGCCAATAATGTATTATATTGTTAGTCATCCATTGTAGAATTTAGAAATGTACTGTTATGTTACAATTTATTTTAATATTATGTGTAGATTTAGTATGTTTAATATTTTAATAATAAAACATTATTCTTAAATTGTGTTGTGTATAAAATGAGTATATATGTACCCTTTTAACTCATTTGAATGCCTGTTTTGAGGTCTTCAGTTTATATAATAAAGAATTTCAAAATTCAGGTCAACACCTCTCATGGGGGATTCCCCCATAAATCGGGATAGTTGGCAGGTCTGTATTTCATTAAACTATATAATTAACTAGTTTTTGCCAATAGCTGTCAAATGCTAGCACCATTTTTATAATCAGCTGATTATTGTTTTTTGCCAAAATCAAAACGTGTGGCAAGTTCAAGGTAAAAAAACCAGTGTTGACTGATCAGGAAAATGTTAGAAAAGCCAGAAAAAATATATGAAGTCAAACCATTACAATTCTTTCAAAATAAATTTTTTCAAATAAGGGAGATAATAAGGTACTTCTGGTTTACGAAAAAAGTCACTAACAATGTCATTTGAAGGTTACTGAATGCAGATTCTAAAATATATATGGTACCCGATTATAAAATTACTGAGATGTGGTTTAATTGCCAATGAAAAAACTATCCATCAAAGTTCAAATGAAATGAATGTAAGCAACTATTAGTGACCGTTCCGCCTTCAACAATGAGAAAAACCAATACCATATAGTTGGCTATAAAAGGCCCTGACATAAAAAATATGAGACAAGAATCAACGACAACCACTAAACAGGTTCCTGACATGGGACAGGCACATAAAGAATGTGGGGAGTTAAACATGTCTGAAGGCACCAACCCTCCCCTAACCTGGGACAGCAGTGCAACAGTACAACATAAGAACTAACCTTAAAAATTAGTTGAAAAGGGCTTAACTCACCAGATCAATACAAAGCAGAAAAACATCTAACAAAAACACAGACTGCATGTGGCAGGGAATTTATGCATCCCTCACACAAAGTACAGATCTGAGAGTACTCACAGTTACTGACAGCTAATCTAAATACTTTTTCCTTGTATTATTGCAAAAAATGAATACTTCCGGTTTGTACAAGGTCATTTCTAGTTGATATTTTTCAAGGTTATCAGTCACCCAACCCTTTCCAAAAGACCCCATGGCTTTATCATGTATAGTATAAAGTAATAATCACTTTACCTAAATTTTAACCATTTCAGGGACAATAACTCCTATATGATATCATATAAACCAAATATCTAAGAGACATGTTGCAAAACAAAAATTACACGCAAGAACAAATTCTGCTGAAGAAAACAAAAATAATCAGAACAAAATCATAAGGCCTAAAATAAAATTTTATTTGTTTGGCATTGCCGCCCGACCCACTGAAAAACTTGCCGCCCAAAAAATTTTATTTGCATTTCAGAAATTAATTTTTTTTTATTTAAAAAAAATCGAAATTGTGCCGAAATTTGATCGTATCCGCCAAGTTTGTTCCTGGCTTTACTTATTTCAAATCCCGATCTTAAAAGTGCTTGCCTTACACTGTATTGGGAGCAAACATTCAAATGACATGGAATAGAAAAAGTCTGCCAAAAGTAATGTCAAAGAGGCTGGCAGGGGGAAGCATCTCCCTATGCTGCAATGCATTGGTTAAGGGAGATGGATTTTATCAAAAATCAAATTTTCAGCTATTCTTTGAAAGAAACGTTCTGAGAGACCTTGTAGAGGACTCAAATCTTATCTTTTGAAAAGCAGAAACAGTTGATGTCTGCTTGACTTTGTCGCTTCATGAGATAGCTTTTCACCGGGACATCACAGAACAAATATGCGTGGCTCTTACATTTGTTAAATTTATTAAATATTTGAAATTTATCATTGACAAATTTTCCATTGAACCAGATAACAAAGTATCTACTATAGTCAGAACCACAATGATGCATTGAAGATAATTATGGCTGAAAGCACCAAAGCTAAAAGACCAAAATGGTCCCAGATTTACAGGTTTATAGTAGTTTTGTACCAGTAGATGCTAGCCTGGTACAAAACATACATATTTTAAAGACTAGCATCTTGTGTCAATTGAAGTACTTCCCCCTTTTCTTGCCTTTCTTCTTAACATGAATAAGATAATTCTCAAAACATAAAAGATACTGACAGAAACATATTTATAAATGTATCTAGTGTACTAGTGATGAATAAAATCCCCTCCTTTTCCACAATTCTAAGGGCTCATTAATTTATCTGTATTCATGTAATGCATGTCCAGATTTCTGTTAAAACAAAACTTACCAGGGGCAGTAGGTGTGTTTGTATGGTAGTTTGTCACACCTTACATGTATGATTACTAGCCTCTAGGTGTTGGTTTGAGCCCTAGTTGGGCAGTTGCAAAATTAAGGTTTGATTTTCATGTCATATGTGATAAGGTTAGTCAGTTTCCTCCCGCAGGTTGGCACTTTCCTTCAAGTACTACGGTTTAGTATGCCAACAAAACTGACTGCCATGAAATTACCCATATGGTGTAGAAAGGGATGTTTATAAAACCAAAGCAAACAATCAAAGTTTTAAATCATTGTCTATTTGTACAAGGAGCCGTAGTGGTTGAGCCATTTAAAATATGGTAATTTTACCAAACTATGACCACAACTTCAAGATGTGACATCAGGTCTCTGTTCAACCTGCAGTCCCTCAATTAAAGTTCAATTTTCACGTCATACATTTTAAATGGTTAATTTGTCAGTTTCCTGCCTCAGTTCTGTGTTTTTTTCTGGGTACTTTGGTTAACTCTGCCAATAAAACTGACTGTCTTACATGAAATTATCCATATGATGTAGAATGTGACATTGACGGTTGACCCCTTTCAAAGAAACCATCAGTATGTACACACAACAATGCTGCAATGCTTTAGACACCATCGATATAGAGACTTCATGATTTACATGTATAAAGCTTTTAAATATAACAAAAAAATAATTTCCCTACCTACCTACCCACCTGCTGATAGTGTGGGTCGGCAATGCCAAACAAACAATTTTTTAAGGTGGGCCTAAGGTCTTTCAAGGGAAAGTGGAAAGACCTAACTATGATGAACTCAGGCACTCTGGAATGGTATGCAGTTCCATCTCCACAGAAGGCACCCATCTGTTCCTCATGACAGTAAAAAAAGATGATGTTAATAGCTACAAGCTACAACAATAAAAATCTTACCTCATTAAAGTCAATTGTAAAATAATTGAAGTGGAATGAAAATCTTTTATCGTTGGCTCTTCTGTGAGCTACAGATGCTAAAGAACGTGCTGTATAAAAATAAATTTCATAATGTATTTAATTAAACATAGATATTCAAATTCTCGTAACTTCACCTGTATTATGCTTTTCCACTTAAATATAATGTATCACTTTCTGTCTGATGATTTAATGTTAAAAGATCATGAAACAGCTCAAAACTATGCAGGTTTTATTTTTTTATGGCTGACTGGTATTGTCTTTTTTATAGAAAATAGGTCAACATATTATGGTTTTGTTGACATTTAGGTGAAATATAAGTACATGAATTCCCTATACATATCTTAGACTTTAAACTTTTGAAGTGTTTCATGAATACAATAAATTATTTTACAGGTATAAGTCATAAATTCTTAGTTGCAATCTCAAGCTTCCTTGCATGTAAAAAGTTTAATACATGTAACTTAATTCAATCACTTAAAACTTGATTAAACAGTGGAACTATGAGCTTCTGCTCATTAATGATACCCCAACTTTCAGAATTAGGTAAACAGGAAGTTAAAGAGCCATGGAAAATATGCATCACACGGTATGTCATGTTCTCATGAAGCCTGATAACTTTAAGGAATATCTTATTTATAGTTCCTGATAAAAAAAATCATACACGACCATTATATGTTAGAATATATTAGTATCCAGTAAACAGGAAGTTGATCAACTATGAATCTAAAAATGTATCACAGAGTATTTATAGCATGTTCAATATAGCCATAAAAACAAGTAAAACTGTGAGCTACTGCTCACTGATGATACCCCCGCCGAAATATTTCGGTAAACAGGAAGTTGTTGAGTGATGAATCTGAAAACGCATCACACGGTATAGCTGACTTATATAGACCCTGAAACCAAATTTCAGAAATCCTTGTCAAAGAGTTCCTGAGAAAAATGTGACGAAAATTTTCAACTTGGCTATCATGTGTAAAATAATACAAGTGTTCGGTAAACAGGAAGTTGTTGAGTGATGAATATGAAAACGCATCACACGGTGTAACTTACTTATATAAACCCTGAAACCAAATTTCAGAAATCTTTTTTAAGTAGTTCCTGAGAAAAATGTGACGAAAAATTTTCAACTTGGCTATCATGTGTAAAATAATACAAGTGTTCGGTAAACAGGAAGTTGTTGAGTGATGAAATTGATAACGCATCACACGGTGTAACTTACTTATATAAACCCTGAAACCAAATTTCAGAAATCCTTGTCAAGTAGTTCTTGAGAAAAATGCAACGAAAATATTCATGGGACGGACGGATGGACTGACGGACTGACGGATGGTCTGACGGAAGGACAGACAGAGGTAAAACAGTATACCCCCCCTTTTTCAAAGCAGGGGTATAATTTAAAGCGGGGGTATAATAAGATGTGTTATGATTGCCAATGAGACAACTCTCCACCAGAGACCAAATGACATTGAAGTTAACTACTATAAGTCACTACAACAATGAGCAAAATCCATACCTCTTAGAAAGCTATAAGAGGCCCCAAATGACAAATGTAAAACAATTCAAACGAGAAAATTAACTGCCTAATTTATGTACAAAACAGTAAACAAAAATCAACTTTGTTATACAGCAGCAAACAACAAATACTGAATTACAGACTCCTTACTTGGGACATGCACATACAGAATGTGTTGGGGTTAAACATGTCTGCTGATAAAAAATTATGTGTCTAACACAAAAATTGATAACGAATTTCAGATAGCTCTTATTTGTAGTTTCCTATAACAAGAGTGCACAAACTGAAATGTCTCGCCTGTTTTACTGACCATTGATTTTATGTAAAAAGTCTTTAAGATAAACGTGTGACTACAAGTATCACATAAACTTAATATTTTTAAAGATCCATGACAATGAGGTCAAGGTGGGATAAATTCTGTCAGATACACATGTTTACCTTACAATTATTCCAAACACCAAATGAAGTTGACCTATTGCTTATGGTAATTGAAAAACAGAAAAAAGCACAAAAACATAACATTAACCACTGAACCATGAAAATGAGGTCAGGGTCAGATTATACCTGCCAGACAGACATGTACACCTTACAATTATTCCATTCATAAAAATATAGTTGACCTACTGCTTATAGTATTTGAAAAACAGATCAAAACATAAAAAATTAACATTGACCAATGAACCATAAAAATGAGGTCAAGGTCAGATGATACCTACCAGACAGACATGTAAACCTTACAATCATTCCATACACCAAATATAGTTGACCTACTGCTCATAGTATCTGAGAAAAGGACCTAATCACGTAACTTAAACCTTGATCTCTGATCCATATAATGAGGTCAAGGTCAGGTGAACTCTTGTCTGACGAAAATGTGGATGTTGCAAGGAACCCATGTACCAAATATAGTTATCCTTTTACTCATAATAAGAGAGAAATTCACATGACAAAAAAACTATAATTTTCTTTCAAGCAGTCGATGAACCATGAAAATGAGGCCAAGGACAATGGACAAATGACAGATGGAAACTTTGTAACATGAGGTATCTGCATACAAGGAATGAAGCTTTCAGATCTTCTTCCTTCTGAAATATAAAGCTTTATACAAAAAGTTTACATCGCCTCAGCCACCGCTGCCCTAGTATAGTAATCCCTATGTCTCGCTTTCTTCGACTTTCATTGCAAGCGAGACAAAAATAAGATTAAAGTTACATACATGGCCAGTTTGTAATAGAATATATATATAAGTATTCATTAAACAGGAAGTTGAGGATTGATAATCTGAAACCACATCACAGTTTTGATGAATCTAAAACCATATCATAGCATATAGAGTGTACACATGAAGCATGATAATAAAATTCAGAAAGTTCTGATCTGTAGATCCTGAGAAAAATGTGACAGTAATTACATGACATGGACAGACAGACATACAGACAGGGGTAAAACAGTATATCCCTATCATTCGGAGCAAGGATATAAATATATACAGAAGCACCATGGGATAAGCTGAAAAATCTTTCCCAAATTTTGGTGTATTTATACAGTGACTGTGACCTTTGACCTACTGATCCAATCCATAGTTCAATAAGAGTCTTGTACTTTCTAAGGATCATTCTCAAATTAATTTTGGTGAAGGTTGGACACATATTATTGTACAAAGATATTATCCAGAAACATATATATTACCACAATTTCAGTCTATCTACTGCCACTGTGAACTTGGAACTTTGACCTAGTGACATAAAAATCAAAGCTATAAAATGTTTTGCAGTTCAAACATCCAAAAGTAATTTTATTTTGCCCAACTTTCATTCTATCAATAGCTGCCGTAACTTTGACTCTCGACTTCTTGACCCCAAGAGCAATCAAGGTTTTCCACACCTCACAGGACATGAAACCAGTTTGGTAAAGATATTGTTTATGGCTTCAAAGAATTTGTCCTGAAAACAAAATGTTGATGTCCCTACAGCCAGACACCAGGATGACATTCATCATATCATGAGACAAATTTGACTTTGTCACAATTAACTCTGCTAATAAAATATTTCTCCTTATAATGATTGCAATGTTATTATTGATACCTTGTCTATAACTCCCAGCATTTCCTGGTATAAATAGGACAGGAACACCATTCACAGGAACCTTCCTTAAATAACAAATCAACACATATTTGTGTCATTAATATTCAACACATAACATACTTTTGTCAATTCTATTCCATTTTCTTTTAAGAAAAATATAGCATAATTGAAAAAATTTATGTTAAATTACAAGGTTAAATGCAAATATGAATAAAAGGAGGTGTATGTCATTCAAACATGAATGCAACCACACAACAAGAGTGCTCAATCTGAATTGTCTTGCCTGCTTTACAGATCATTATTGAATTTTGTGTTGAAAGTCTAAAGGTTTTACTACAGGTATCACACATCCATGAACAAGAAGTCAAGGTCATATGAACCCTGCAATATAGACATTAAAACCTAAAAATCATTTAATACACCTTATCTATTGACCTTTTGCTTCTAATGTCTGAGAAATGGACCTAAACATGAAAACTCAACATGGATCAATGGTCCATGATATGAGGCAACATTAGGTTAAACTTAAAGTCATATGAAATGAGTTTCTTTCAATTATAATGTTAAGTTAATAATTGAACCAATGCATGTATATTTACTAAACTAAGTCCTCTTTATTTATTACAAATCTATAACATATAATCGACAAAAAATATTTCATTCTGTGAAAACTTTGCCTGCTAATTATCTTTTAATGTTCTATTACCTAAGTTTATTGAACATGACCTTAATATACAATCAATACAGAATCATGGAGCACATAAGTGAGAAGATAGACATGCATTAGAGCAATGTTTATTTATTTTTTATATGTTTCTATTTGTTACCGGTAATCATGTTAATCAAACTTTGTCATAACAGTTGTTATATTATTTGGTGTGTTAAATTTTTTGTTTCAGAATCAATTTACACTATATAACTTCCTTGTTTTTTTGTCTTTTCTTTCATCATGGTTTTCCCCTCGCACTTGCACTGTGTGCTTGTGGAAGTACTAACAAGAAGCTGGTTAGGTCACTGCATCAGAAAAGCAATCGACGAATTAGAGACAGAAAGACAATAATTCAATAGCAGTACATTTCTTAAGATTTTGATAAGATCAGGGATTATATTTTAAACGAAAGTCCATGTACGTGTGTTTTATGGTTAAAACTTAGCCCCTCAAGTATATAAAACATATTCAATTTTTTTTAAATTTGAAGTATCATTTGACTTTAACTTTGTCTAACAGACATGTGCACCTGACAATCATCCAAGAGCAATTACAAAAACAGCCAGGTAATAACACAATATTATATGTGCATCAATGTGAAGAATATGTACAGTATGTATGCCACAAACAGGAAGTACATAAGTCAGAGATCTGAAAATATCTCACACTGTATAGCTTATAAACTGCTATGAAGAAGTTATTTGTGTCACATATCAAGAAACTATGATTGTAGTTGCTGATAAAAATGCGTAAGAAATGTGCTTTAGACTGACAGTTGGACAGAGTCAAACCAGGACACTCCATCCCAACCTTTGGACAGAAGTATAAAACTTTTGTCGTAAAGATAGAGATAATCAAAATTGGTAAAAACCTTTACAATATTTGATTGAACACATGAACACAACTATAACATGTACATATTCACATCCAGGAATTTAATAAAATAGTGGTATTTCACATCCAGCTTTTATGGTACGTTGTAATATTATTTATAAAGCTAATAAGTTTAGGAACTGTCCTTCAAATATTTCGTTTTTGCTCAATAGACTTAATAAGCTCATTATTATTCTGTTACTGTTAAAGCACTGTGTTTGGTATTTTGGGGAATAAACATTAATTCCCTAATTTATTGTGTGAAGCAAGAGAAAATGTTCTGTTTTTCTGTATTGCAATTCTACGCAGGTTTATTCAAGGCGTTGCATAAGGTCATGTCTTCCTTTACTGCCTATGGTGTTTCTGTAAGAAATCCACTCTGAAATGCAACTATCAATATCAGAGTGTAGAACTGCATTTCATATCAGCAGGTTAAGTCCTTTGAGCTCACTTTCAGTAACTGTAAGCACTTTTTGACAGTAATGTTTATTATTGATTATTTTACAGTTGTGTTTTTGTTATTTGTTATACTTATTTAGAGTTTAGTATTTTTTCAGATCTATAGACATTAAAATGGATGAGGTTGAGATCTCAAAATACTAGTCACACTTCAAAAACTGATACTTTCATAGTATTTCGGAACAGCCACAAGAAAATTTTTCATAAATGATATTCTTTATTTTAGCAATTTTTTCCAGAATCACAACACGAGTGATAAAATTATGTTTCAAATTTCAAATTAAATTAGAGAATTTTCCAAAATCGCTGTGTATCATCGCCACTGGAAATTGGGTACCAACGAAACGGAGAGAAAAGAAAAAAATAAATAAACAAGGTAAGAATTCCTTCGATTTAAACCATTTCTGCCGTTTTGATGAGGTTACTGCTTTTGACAACATTTTCTGATATAAAAATGCTTAAATTTTTAATGCCAACAAGTTGCAAACAAAGACAAGATTTTGTGTTATACTCAATAAAGAGCTGCACCATTAGCGCATGATATGCCCGTTGCTTTTTCAACAAATAAAGTTCCATAACTCCTCAATGTTATATCAGAAATCTATAAAAAACTAAAGAGCTTATTTTAATAGATATAAACCAGTCACCAAAGATTCATGAAAACTGCTCAAAGCATTTTTGAATTTTTGTCCGAAAACTGGAAAATCCCTCTTTTTTTATGAATAAAACCCACAACTCGGAAACGTAAAATTTTACAATTTATGAAATTCGCAAGTAAGCTTACATCAATAGATATAAACAATTCACCAAAGTTTCATGAAAATTAGTTAGAGTTTTTGTATATATTGATGATGGACTGACAGATGGACGGAGGGACGGACAACAGTATACCATTAAACCTTCCCTAAACAGGTGTACGATAAAAACTGTGCACTTTTTTAAGTTGATTGGACAGATATTCAACAGTTTTCATTCTTCTTCCTGACAAAATTTTTTTGATTATGATAGTGTGACTTCAAATTTACAGAAATTTGCTATCAATAAGATGTTTTCTATAGAATATTGAAAAAAAAACAATCAAGCCTAGGGTATGGCAACTTGCTCATGTTGACAGAATTAAATTACGGCAACTTGTTTTCCAACTGTATGGCAACTTGCAATTTTTATAATATTCATATGCCGTCCCTTTCAAGAAATAAAATAGTGTTATAACAATACCTAATTATACATTTGATAGAAATACAATTCACTTGACGGCATTGTAGATTGTATAAATAATATCAGGCTACAGAGTCCTATTAGATCTCAAGCAGTTTACAAAGAAATACATGTTTTCCAGATGTATACATTTTATGTCAATAATTTACCCGTACACACATAAAAAAAAACATTCCATTAAGTCTTAATTAATAAAACCCTTTGAACTGTTACTAACTTCTAGTATCTATTTGCTTTATAGATTGCATTACATCTCTTTAATATCCAAGTTCACGTCTGACAGATATGAGATGCAATGTTATGTAGTGAATTAAACACTGTCAGAACAAATGAATAATCAGGAGGATTTTTTCCGGGTTAAATATTTATTTTCAATCGTTGCTATGCTTGCTAATTTTTCTCACTCATTTTTTTTTCTTTTTTGGATACAATTTTTTCTGCATTTTGTTTTATAGAATATTCATTTTAAAAACCTGTCAAGAGCAACCTTATTTATTTTCATTTCGTCCCAGGCCAAGTTATTCATTTTCAAAATCCTCCTCCCCATAAAATCAAATGGTCATCCTCTTATTTTTAAAATCTCATGAAGGCAATACGTATCTCTATCATGTCTGTTACAACAGAATCTGTAATATTGCAGTTAATATCGTAAAAAAAAATACCAAAGAACCATACTATTAAGTAATCTATAAAGGTTATGAATATGTAGAACTCTGAACTGCGATGATACTCCGAACAACTGATGTGCGACGGTTTGATGCTGAAGTGCATTTTCTATCACGCTGAAGTGCGATGGTAGCATTGTGAAGCTATCTTGTTGATAACTAGGCTGAAGTACGATGGTGGAAACGCTGAAGTGCGATGGACTACATAAACTATATTTTCAATGCTTTTCATGTTGATGTAGAAATCTATTGTTTTGTTAGAAGCAGAGTGACTGGTGGAGAAAGAAAGTCAACCTTCTGTAGTGGATTTCTTTCGAAATCTGCAAAAGGTTCTTTTTTCGCACAATGGAGTGTGGCATTCTTTAAGTACATACAGGTTCGCAGACAGACTCTCCGTATCATAATATTACGATTAATGAAGAACTCCTGAGAGGAACCAAGTAAATATCATGTTCACATACAGACAATCAATGGGGACGATCTCTCATTTAGTATGCAATTGTAACTAAGGACAAAGATAGACAATAAAGAATGCAAATTTATATACTGACCATTAAAAAAATTTACTTCTCATAATAATTGAACATCTGTAGAATTTAAACTAACACAACGCGTGCAATATAGACCACCACACATCAGCAAAAGGGACCATCGCACTTCAGCATGACCATTGCACTTCAGCGTCCTCATCTCACCTCCGGGTCCTACAAATATCCTTAGAAATGTCTTTATAAATTGTTTATATTGTAAATAAAATTTGACAAGTAATATAAACTTCAAATTAACAAATTGATAAAGTATGCTTTTTTCTGAAATATAAAATTGATACAACGCTGTTAAAGATTTGATTATTTTCATATATTTGTAATCTAAATGTTGATTTTTAAACACTATAAATTCACATTCCTATAAAACCAAATGCATAGGTCGAGTTCCATACCTTTATAAGAGTTTAAAAACAAAACAATCACATGCTGCTATATCTGATAATTCAATCAAAAGTCTCACTTGTATTGAATTATATCATTTCATTTGACACAATATAAAAGTAAAATTTAGAAATATTTAATATCTTATTCAGGAAAAGGTACAATGTGCTACAAAAAGAGAAGTTGGGGGAATATACCCCCACTGCTACCCT